AAGCATCACCTAACAGGGAATGTGAATCCGCGGAACAGCAAATGAAAAAGTAAAAAAATAAAATAAAATGCATGGACAATCCAGAAAACGCTGCAGCAAAGGTTTTGTCTACTTTTCCAATTTGGGTGACATGTCGTTTCTTTAGTGACAGCTATGTACAAGAACAGTGATCAGATCTGTAATACAAGATTTGCAGTTGAAAAACAACAGAAAAAAGAAAATCATTCACCCTCCCTTGGTTGGTATATATATATAAAAAAATACATCTGTAAATGTAATACTCTTACTTTATAGGGACAGAATTCCGCAGTCTCATCCTATGCAGCACTGCAAGCTTCAGTCAAATGCAGGGTCGCGGCCGGCGCATTGACGCTGGCTAATCGCTGTTTTCAAAGAACATTGTTACATACTCAGATTGAGTAAATTATGTATTTCAAATACCCTCCTACCCAGTAATGCAATAAAACTTGTCTATTAAGAAGAGTAATGTAAATTTAAACTGAGGGCAGAAATCTAGTTGCTCCGTGGGAACTGATCATTCTGGGATGGTACTGCTCATGCACAAAACAAGCCAGGTCCAGTGGGCGGATGAGCCTAAAACTGGCCTGTTTTTTGTTTAAATACATTTTTTTTTACCTCAATTCTATTTCCCATTAGAAGTTAACAGTGCACTCTAGTGTCTGAGAGGTCACATCAGCCTGCAAAGGGCACTGCGGGTCATTCAGCAGGGGCTCCCTTCCGCGGTCACATGTCATTACCCATTGACCAATAGGCTGAAGCTGGAGGGGGATCACACTTCCGACAGAGCGCATTTTTCTGGGAAACCTGATTTATGAAGGCAGGTGAGGAACAGGCGACACAGATTCCCCTAATGGGGGATTGCCCCTTCCAGCCCCTTCCAGCCGCTTGGATTCGTTTTCGCTGCTTTTTGATTTTTCCGTTTGGCACACAGGATTGTCCTATTACAGCTCTTTGGGAATATTCAGTATCCAGACTTAATACTAAAAGAAGTGCAGCATGAAAGTGGTCCGTGTACCAAGGCTTTGCTATCGGATGATGCTTCGGAGAACAAAATAAAAAGGGGGGGGGGGGGGGCAAAACATGACAGACAAATGATTCATTCATCATTTTGGACCTATCAAGGGGCTCACAGACGACAGACTATTTCCATTTACTTGGCTAATAATCAAACAACAGTTTTCAGGGGGGTGGGGATGGGGGGGGTTGCATTTAGCACTAGCTACGATGACGCAGCAGCGATGCCCGGCTCTGTCAAACAAAGCGATTCCCCAAAACTCAACTTTAAAGTCATAGACAGGAGTCAGCATGCAGGGAGCAGGCCGGCCCAGAGGCGAGCGACCGCAGAATGGGCCACCTTACGCCAAGCCGGTGCCCCACTGGATATGATTTCATACTCACTTTAGAAAAAAAAGCAGAGCCTGGATTTATTCTGGCTTTAAAACAAAGACAGAAGATAACATGTTACCATCCCAAAAAGTCTGCACAACTCGCTGGATAGCACAGCAAACTGCCACTCCTTAGAACAGTTAGGATACAAAAAAATAAAATCACTGCAAATATGTCCTCGGCAAGCACGTGTCTCTCAGCAAGTTTAAACTAATGATGCTTTTTCCCTACATGTACATTTCAAAACTCTATTTGATCAATAAAAGCTGTGACAGCTTAGCAGTACTAAGCCGCAGAATAGAGAAGAGTTTTAATTAAACAAAGAGATAATCTGTACTGTTTGCTTGAACGCGCATGACAATAAATTAGGAATACAGGGCTCAGAACACCAATGTGAATATCAAGTATTTGTCATGTAGACAGCGAAGCTTCCACATCCTGAGATACATACGTACAGTATGAAGAGTTACGATTAGGAACCACGACTGAGGCTGAATTTCAGAGGAAACCGCTACGTTATGGCACATTCGTGAGAAGTACGGAGACACACTATTGTCCGGCTTTGAGCGTACAGAGAATTCATTATTAACGCATTGCTAGATGATAGGCTATTACTGTAGACAAGAGGCTGGACATATTAAACTAACTCTGTTTCCCAATCCAGTCCTCGCCAGGAGCTGGGATGGAGCAAAAACATGGACTGTCTGTGGGTCCCCAAGGACCGGATTGGGAAACACGGCTCTAACTGAAGTTAGCTCTTCGGTAAGGGCAGAGGGATCCTGGTATAATAAGCAGGGACCGCAGAAGGTAGGAAAAACAGGGGGCGAGTTCGGCTGGCTTCTCTGAGCAGAGTACTGGGTACAGTAAGCTACTGCGCTCGCAGCCGGACGAGCACGCGGCTGGAGGGGAGAGGCACTGGGTGTCACTGTCCAAGACAGACACGCCACCCGAGAGGGACCAGGACCACAACACAGCCACGATGAGGTGTGTCAGGCTCACACTGAATTGGTACAACACGCTGAGGTAGACTCCGCCCACACAAAGCCATCCACGCCCTGCTGGTGCCGCCCTCCCTTCCTCAAAATCTCATCTTTTTTTTTTTCTTTATTTTATTTATTTTATATATTTTTTTAACTAAACCTCTTGAATTAAAAAAGCATTTAAAAATCTAATTGGGATTCGTACAACTACCACCATATTAAAATAAATAAGATATTAATATATCTGTTATTCTAATATCTGTATAATTCTTTGAATTACAAAACAGATTATTTTGCATTTTAAAATATATTTATTTTCACCTGTCTGTACTGCTGACAGCACATACAGCCGTAAGCAGTTCCTTACACTGACAATTCTGTGGAAAAAAAGGAAAAACTGAGCCGTCACATTATTCTTTACAATATTTACAGACAAGAACAGAGAATGCAGACTGTCGGTCAGGGTGCAGCTGTGACCCTTTGCTGTGGCATGGTCTGGCGGGAACAGCTGTATTTGTCCCAGCCGGTCGCCATTCTGAGGCCAGGAGTCGGAACAGCCGACGCAGTCAGAGTGGGAGAGATTGTCTGGTACGGCTCGCCTGCTTAATTAAGATCATCTCCGAGGGCTTTTGTGTTTCCTCGCCCTCCTCTTGGAGACATACCACTTGGGCGGGAGGCTGCGACACGGGCGTGGTCCTCAAATCGCACGAGAAAACGCCAGTCGTGGTCCTCGTGTCCGGCGACGGCGGCTTCCGTGGAAAAGGCACGATCCCGCGGCCATAGCTAAGCCTGAGGGCAGGATCTTCACGAATGAGCGAGCGATCCTCACGTCACCGCTGACAGGAAGTGGGCTTCTTCATGCTTCTTTCAGGTCCCAAAGCCCCGCCCCTTATTCAGTCCAATGACAAGCGCCGGGGAGATAGGCCCCGGCTTCCGGAAGACAGGCATGGGCTAGATGAAATGACCCCGCCCTTGCCCTTCTCCTGATGCACCATGGGATTGAGAAGCGTGAAGACTGGTGCGGAGTCCATCCCCTACAAGGCCTGCAGCTCCCACCTGACCAAAAATGAAACACTTTGGAAGATTCGGGGCCAGGAGGCCACTGGCTACTCTGCCAGGTTCAAAGGAGGATCAGTGGAGGTTCCACACAAGAGCTGAGAGAGACCAGCTACTGGAAAGCTACACAATAATGGCACCAGATAAGGGGGCAGTTTCCAAATGTCAGTCTCCGAAAAACTAAATGGGGATGGGGGGGCAGAAAAGGGATATAAAAAAAAAAAACAAAGCTAAGAAAAATATGCCACTGATGCATGGAGCTTCTCTCCTGTCTCCCCACAGCAACGGCAATATCAGGTAGATACTGGTGGAGCGGGAGACCATAGCAGTGTAACCGGAATGTCAGACTTCTGATAAATGGCCGCTTGTACAGTGTGTCCTAGTTCAGGCAGTGTACATCACGCAGGGGGTCTCACGTGGACAGCAGTCACAGGACCCCGCCCGCACCTTTCCCCAGCCAGCTGCGGGGGCAGGCTGGCAGGGGTGCACAATCGGCCCTGGAAAATTCCGCCCAGCCCTCTCCAACCTTGAGCTTCTCTGTCAGCCAACCAGCAAGCGGCGAACAGCGGCAGGTCTACTTGGTGGAAGGACGTGCACGTCAGACGCCCTTCAGAGAGGAGTGTCGTGGGTCACGGGGTACAAGGAGCCACCAGTGATGGGGCACATTCTAACTGGGGAGTTTTTGCTTTGTCATGAAATACAGTTGGATAA